TGAGCTAAGGGGCTGAAACTTTGTAGGGATATTCCCTGTGCATGTACTAGCTAAAGTTTTCAAATTTAGCCTCCAGATGTACGTGGTGCTATGAAAGGCGTATGAAAGTTTTAGGGGGAAAATTGCCAACTCAGGTACCAGGAAAGCTGAAGTTTTGGAGAAGTGTTCCCTATCGAAATACAACTCAAATATTTCAAATTCAGCTCCAAGCTGTGCATGGTACTCCCGTAAGGGCGTATGAAAGTTTCCGCAGAAAAATTACTAACTCGGCAACCAGAAGAGCTGGAAGGCTGAAATTTTAGAGTGATGTACCCTGTTCACGTGCAATTTAAATTTTCAAATTCAGTTTTCCAGGTACCTTAGGTGTCCACGCACGGGTATGTAAAATTTTTGGCGAGAAAATTGCTAACTCGGTATCCAGAAAAGCTGGAAGGCTGAAATTTTGGGAGAATATTTCCTGTCCAAGTGCAATAATATTTCAAATTCAGCCCCAAGCTATGCGTGGTACTTACGTAAGGACTTATGAAAGTTTCTGCGGGAAAATTACCAATTCGGCAACTAGAAAAGCTGGAAGGCTGAAACTTTAGGGGGGATGCTCCCTGTCCAAGTACAACTTAAGTATTTCAAATTCTGCCTTGAATTACGCGTGGTTCTTACGTAGGGGCACTTAAAATTTTGGCTGAATATCTGACTGAGCAACTAGGTTATTTCTAAAGAACGATCGTTAAATGGAAACTGCATATCTACTTTATACAAAATTTATGATGATTTATGCTGGTGATCGCATAGGTGTGAATCAACAACCACTCATGCAGTTAATGACCTGAGTACTTCAAGTCCGGTACAAAAATAGAAGATCACACGGGCCCGTCCGGTGCGCTCCAGCCTCTGTTTCAAAAAGCAAGCATTTACCAAAAAAACGACCGCACTTCATGCAAAAAACTGGTAATCATGTAGCTGGAGATCAGTGCAGCTCTATGTTGCAGCACCTTCATCTCAACCGATGCCCTTTCTCCCGCATGCTGGAAGAGGCTAGAGCGTGGCCAATATGAGCCCAAGTGTTAGGCTACAGTGCAGGGATCATTCTTGCTATCATCAATCTGCGAGTTTAGTGCAAAAACGTGTGATTGCACCTGC